GTACAGTATCACTCAAAGCCCAGATTAAAGGCATTCCCAAGTGACGCTCACCCTAACCCCCTGAATCCCCACTCTGGAACAGCACTTGATGGGCAGACACCTGTGATGGCGAGGAAGGAAGAATCGTAACTGACCGCCTGTTTTACAGAGACGCGGACCCTGCAAGCACATTGTTAGGAGATTCCACTCCCGAGCTTTGGGTGGGGTCAGACCGGTCTAGAGCTCGGTGCTGCCGTCTCACGAGCTGCGTGGTAAACCCGTTCTACGAGTACCGACTACGGATGGAGCAAGTGTGGCGAGGTAGCCACGAGCACACTTCTGGGCTGAAAGGACTCAAACAGATTCCTAACTCCATCGGGCTGGGGATTTAGCTCAGCAGTACAGCGCCTGCCTGGCAAGCGCGACGTCGTGAGTTCGATTCCTGGGACCGGGAAAAAAGGGAAAAAAACAAACAGATTCCTAACTCCACCATTCAGTCATTCCTGGTTTTGAACAAATTATTTCTCTGTGCCACAGCTTTTCAATCTTTGAAAAAGGAACAATAACACATAGAGCTGCTAGGAGTTGAAGGAAATTATGTATAAAGTGCATAGTTTGGGGTCTGGCACATGGTGGATGCTAAGAATGGGAGGAATACTTAGTGAAGAAGAAGATGTTGATAACAGTGCTTGCTGACACAATAAACACTTGGGAGCTTTGAGGGATATAATAAATTTTGGCCTTTGTTTTAATCCACTTTGTGTTGCTATGACAAAATAGCTGAGGCTGGATATTTTATAAAGGAAAGAGGTTTATTTGGCTTACACTGCTGGTGGCAAGAAAGCCCAAAAAGTATGCTGCCAGCGACTGGCAAGGGGCTCCCTGGCTGTTACAGCATGGCCAAGAGGCGGTAGGGGCCAAACAGCTGAGGTAGCCTCAGTTTAAAACGACCCACTCTTTCGAGAACAGCTTGTGCTTACAGAACTACATGTGTGAGACTTGTCTGAGGGTGATGCTCCCCGGACCTCATCAGCTTCCACGGCCCGACCTCTGACAAGCTCTCGGCTCAGCACCACGGCACTGGGACCACGCGTCAAGCCCACTGCCTTCGGAATGTGCTCAAACCACGCTGCGGCCATCCTGTAACAAATGTTCCCAAACAGCTGTGACTTCAGAGTGACTTGGTTTTAGTGCCCAAACTTTTTTCAAAATTCTGCAATAAAATCTGGTGAAAATGACTTAAATTTTTTCTAAGCTGAGCAGAAAAGTAGCACAAACAAACAGAGGATTAAGGCAGAAAAAATGAGGAAACTTTAGGAAATATTTTCATATTGTCAGGACCAAGAGACATAACTACCATTCATATCAGTTGATTCTTGTTTTTCATTTGGATTTGGGTTTTTTTAATTGACACAAGGTCTCCTTATGTACTTTAGGCTGGCCTTGGTACTGTGCAGCCCAGGCCGGCCTTGAATTTACAGTGATCCTCCTGCCTCAGCCTCCCAAGTGCCTGGAT